TTGTTACATATGATATGCATGTAATCTTGCTACACCCTGAATATGGACATATGATATTAAACTCTCAGCCAGAATTATCACCTCAGTAGGAAACCAAAAATTATTTTATTTCATTTTATTATTTTAGCTTAGGGTAGAAGGACATGAAAATCAGCAGGTTGGTAGAGATTGTTTAGTTCTGTAAGTCATTTTAGTAATTTTTTTGTTTTAATTTTTTTTGCATTTATATGTTAACTCTTCCATTTGTTGTCTTTATGGTACATATCATCTTTATGAAATGGAAAATGCCTAGAGATTAGACATTGTTTGGGATGTGCTTTTGGCATTGATAAATGCCATTACTGGTGCAGAATTGCACAGTGTTTAAGCACAGACCCACCAGAGTCATATTGCCTGCCTTTGAATCCTGACCCCATCACGCCATGGGCATGGTGATTTTTTTTGTCCTTCTTGGGCCTTCCATTCCTCATGTACAAAAAAAATTAAATAGGAGATAATCAGTGAAATGTGCTTTGCACAGTTCCTGGCACAGAGTAACCATTTGATAAATATTGGTTATCATGATTGTTTTATAAAAATTATAACTGTTTGAAAGTAATACCATTATTATTTATCAGTTTGTTGGATATTTGTACTCTGATTTTTTTGAATAATTATATTGAAAGCCCATTTAAGAAATAAAAAATACTGGGAACATATTAAAAGGGCCTCCAGAGCTGAAATCAACAAAACATTGAGTGACTTTCCTGGGCATCAGTGAAAGGGATGCCAGGATTAGTTACCACTCAAGCCTATTAGGAAATTACAATTCAAGGACAAAGAAAGCTGTTTCCTCATAAAGTTAAGAACTTGGATGACCTCAGTCACCTGTTTTTGTAGAATAAATATTAGTTTATTTGTCTGTTAAAACTGGGGAAAGGGCTGTAATTTGGTTTCTTCTTTTGGTGCTGATACGGAATATAAACACAAAGGTGGTCTTCAAGTGAGGGTAATCATTTCAACTTGATGATTGATAACTAGTTAGCATTATCGAAAAACTATCAGAGTTGTGTATACAGACATGCACAAATGGCTTGGAATTTGACATTGAAAAATTTCAAATTGAAAGATACTACTGTACACAATACTGAACTGCTTTAATTTTGATCTTACATTAATTTACATTATTTTTAGTTCTCAGTAAAATGTTGCTGGACATTCTTTCCAAAATGCAAGTTTCTGTAGTTGTGATTTTGACCACAGGACCAAGCTTTTGTGTTAAAGGGATTACTTTAATTCTAAGTGGCAGTAGCATCAAAGCGGAAGATCACTTTCAGGTATGGCTGAGGTTGGCTTTGTGTTATAGGAACTTCAGTCCCTGGGGTTCCATAAGGGGAAGGACTAGTTAATTCTTTTTACTTACAGTGGAGCTAGTTCTAAACTAAAAGGCCAAGCAATGCAGAGAAGCCATATCCTCAGGTGAATCTGCTACCGATGAAGCAGAGTTTTTCATTTGTTTTTTTGTTTGTTTTAGTATTTTGTCTACTAGAAGTTTATGGAAATCATAATACCTCCTTCAAAAGTAATTTTAAAAGGCTCATTATATTCTTAAATGTGACATTTACATTTTCTCAGAGCCCACATTATTTTTTTGGAAAAAACAAATCATTACAACAGTTATCTTTGGATGGCTCTTAAAATTTTTCTGTATTTCCCAAAGTTTCTACAGTTAATATGTGTTTTATATTCAGTATATGTATAAATGTTCGCTCTTACAAGATCAAGTACATTGTGTATGTATTTGTTTGTTTATTTTCTATGTCTGTACTTCTGTGAACATGGGAGTAAAGAGTGGTGAGCAGAAAAGTTCCTCCTGGGGCTAATTCCTGGGTGTTGTCAAACAGGGCTCCCGGAAGCATTTTTATGCTTCTAAATGCATTTTTTGTGTTGGGCTCCCAGTAGCATTTTTATGTGCATATTAAAAATAACATCCTTGTTCTCTAATGACTCTCTAATTTTAAAAGAGGTGGATCAGAGATGGTGATGGACGGGTGATAGTTTTGAGTCTAAGGGAAGAAAGACACCAGGATTTCAAAATACCACTATCTGTATGTTTATCATTTCCTTAATCCTACTGACAAACTCCAGAGGAGAATGTCTTTCTGGTTTTATAGCCAGGGAGAGTGAAGCACAGAAGATCAAAAAGTTTGCACAACATTCAGGAAGTAAGCCTCAGACCATGGCGCCTCTTCAGAGCACTAGTTCATCCAGCCACTTACCATCCTGAAATTTGCAAGGTGTGATATTCAGAAGCAGCAGATACTTTGTGGCCTCTAATGCTTTTCACAGCTTCGTAGGATCAGAAATCTTCTCTCAATAAAGTATAAACTTTCTTCTAATTAACTGCTGGTTTGGTAATAATAAAGCGTGGAAAGGTTGTTGCCTCGTGTGTTTCAAACACAATCTTGAAATGAACTAGGTTACAAAACGGTATTTTCAGGCGCTGCTGTTGGTTGAGTTTATTTTGCAAGAGGGCAAGAGGCTTTTCCCCATTTAAGTGCTTAAACAGTTTCTGGATCCCAGTGAGATGTCTGTGAGGGTTTGCTTTTTGATTTCTCTCTTTCAGTTTCTTGCCAGTGTTTCTGGCTTCTTATTACAGAAAGAATGAGGGTAGAAATGAAAGCACTGTAGTAAATAATACAAAAGTAGCGGAAGGATGGCCAGAGGCATAGGGAGTAGTTCTATTGTCATCCCTCCCTGGAAGAACAGGAAGTTCAGTGGTGTGCCACTGTACTGAGCCTCCTATCCCCACCTCCAGTGGCCAGCAGTGCAGGCTCAGAACTCCGCAAGCTTCTCTTTGAGGGAGGGGAGAGGCTGCCCCTGCCCCAGGGGCCAGAGTGGGTGGCTCCAGTTCAGCCCATGGCCTCGAGGGCAGGCTACCGACAAAGGCTTGGACAAAGATTCTGTCATTATACATTCGGTATATATTCAGAGATAATGTATTTTTTTTGAAAAATTTATTTATGTAAGTATGTTTGGCCGCGTCGGGTCTCCGTCGCTGCGTGCGGGCTTTCTCTAGTTGCGGCGACTCGTTGCGGTGCACGGGCTTCTCATGGCACGGGCTCTAGGCGCGCAGGCTTCAGTATTTGTGGCTCGCAGGCTCCGTAGTTGTGACGCACAGGCTTAGCTGCTCCATGGCATGTGGGATCTTCCCAGACCAGGGCTCGAACCTGTGTCCCCTGCTTTGGCAGGCAAATTCTTAACCTCTGTGCCACCAGGGAAGTCCCTATTCAGAGATAATTTAAACCTTACATAATTTTGAAAAGAAAAGGATAGGTTATTTATTGAGGACATTTGCCACTGAATTGCTAGAAATAATTCTACTGTGACTAAAATGAGACGGTCTTGAGATATTTGGCAAAAACAATTTCTGGGTAAGTCAAGAGTGAAATATTTCCATCACTAAAATTATAACTAATTTTCTTTATGCTTTGACATGGAAAGAAACAAGACTGATAAATTACCCTAAATATTGTATATTCTAAATAAATATTTTATAGTGCTTGGGAATGAAATACAACCAAAGATAGAATTAAGTGTTTTAATACACATGCACATGCTTTTCAGTTTAGAGTGATTCAAGTCCAGTGTAATTCATGTGAAAAATTAAAAGACTTATTTCCAGGGATTGATTTCAGAATGATACTGTGCCTTGGCCAAGATGACTAAGTTCTTAGAAAATAAACTTTGTAGTCGGGAAATTATAAAGAATAAAATGGAAGAAAAGACTGTACCTCGGGAAAATATCTAGATTTTGTATTAGTTAAATTTTGGCTCTCTGAATGATCTCTCCAAAGAGCAGTGCCCCTCAGAAATGTAACTGTGGAACGAAGAGGGTGCAAAATAACACACGTTTCCTTTAGAGTGTGTTCCACCCCTTTTCTGCTTTATTTTTCCCAACTTTGAATTTCAAGATCTCTGTGTAATTTGATGATGACCTTAACAACTGGTCTAATTATTGGCAGCAATCCATTTACTAACGTCATCCATACGCTGCCTGTGCTGAAGCATATTTCATGAGTGCTGTTGTAGGTCACTCAAGCCCTTTCCAGAATTGTTTCTGAGTGAGTGAACCATTTAGTTGCAATGTTCTCAGTTAGGGTCATGTCGGGAAGCTCTGTGTAGAATAATTCCATTCCCTTTTGATTAAAGAGTTCCAGCTAGCTAGATCAAGAAATATCCCGTGGAAAGTTTGGAAATCCTTCTCATGAACTATTCATACTAAGAAACACCACGAAAGAACTCTGGGCCTGGGTTTCTTACTTTCTTCCAAGCAGAATGTTCACAACTTTCCTTGCCTCTCCCTGTCCCTCCAAGACACGTCACTGCTGACACCTTGCTCCTGCATCCTCGGCACAGTGTCACTGAGGCTGCTGTAACAACAGCACACACGGGATAACATTCCCCCGTAACTACGGCGGCTGGGACGTGAGTCAGATGAAAAGTTTCACTGGTTTTTATTAGAGTATGACGCAGTCTTATGTCATCCACAGTTCCGAGCCCATCCAAGGCTCACACATGATGATGCAGAGCACCTGATGCTCATCACCTTCCAACGTTAGATGGTCCAGGGACCTCTCACCAGAGCCATTGCCATTGCTGGCTCCTTCCACAGCACCCTTCAGTAATACTTACCATAAGCAGCAAAGAGTAAAACTCAGGCCCCGCTGCTGGAACTCCGTTTCTACTGTTATATATCCCGTGTGCATAATAAGTGCCAGTGACCTTGGTTGATGATCAAGAAGCCCCTCTTTTCACCCAGGGAACTGGACAATTGTTAACATCCCAGAAGACACATCTTCACGCCCATGACTGAGAAGAACATGTGTTGAAGAATAAGGATGGAATTACTGTAATTCTCTGTGGGGATTTATGAATGAGAAACTTACTATTTAATATTGCTTGAAAGTGGTCCTAGAGTGATCAGTGCCATCTAACGTGGGCTTTGGTTTGTTTTTCAGACATGGAGATGACCTGATTGTGACTCCCTTTGCACAGGTAAGCCCAGCTTGCTGAATGGACAGGTTTCTCACTCATCTGAAAATTTAATTGTGGGGGTTAGTTTCGGTTCTTAATTTCATTCTAAATCAAACACAAGTACAAATACAAATTCTGTGGTTCATTCCAGTAATTTAAAAGCCATGCTAGAGAATGTGACCTTCGCCATATTGGTCTGTTTCCTATAAACCCATAGATCCAATGAGTATCTTTGCTTCAAATTAAAAATTACCCAAGTGACATACTTAAATGGGACCACATTTCCTTAACTGACATAAGCACTAAAAGAGGAAAGCTATATCATGGATTAAGTTACATTTAGTATAATTACGTGCATGATCAGTTCCTGAAATTCCATCTTCCACTTCAACCTGATGCTTTATTTACTCTTTTTTTAAACACGTTATTTGTCCATAGATTTAACTGAGTGACATATTTGTGTTTATTTATTCCTTTTAGGTATACACATCATGAAAATACTTTAACCACATGACAGAAATGCTAGAAGGTGAAAAAAACCATCTAAAGAATTTTGATTGGTTGATAACCCAATATTCTTTGTACAGACCAGTGCTTCTCAACTCTAGCTACGCATTAGAATCATCTAGAAAGATTTTATCCCATGCTGCACCTCTGATCAATTGAATCCAAAAATCTGGGGGTTGGACCCAAACACCTGTAATTTTTTAAGGCCCCAGTATTTTCTGAGGAAAAGTTGAGAGCCACTGGTATGGACAGACTATGGATAGAATGGGATAAAACTGATTCAACCTGGGGCATGAAGCATGTTTAAAGCCAACACTGACTGTTAATAGGAAGTGTTAACTATTGGAATACAAGTGATCTAGAGGGTTAAAAAAATCATAATCAAGGCTACATCAAAACTAGCTCTACTGCCTTGAGCAACTCACTTAACTTGCCTAAGACTTCTTTTTTCCAATTGGTAAAATTGGGGACTCAGCTGGATTAAGATAGTCAGGGCCCAGTCAAAGCCCATCATCTACTCTTGCTAAACGAATGAACTTGGACAACTGACTGAACTTGGGCAAGCCTGGTTTCCTCCTCTGTGAAATGACACTTACAAGACTACTCACCTCATAACATTGTCAAGAGACTGAAATAGTACCAAGCTTGTAAAACGCTCAGCACAATTTCTAGAAAATAAAATACTTACTGAATTTTGTGTTGTTATCAGTAAGGGTTCTTTCATCTCCAAAACGTCATAATACGCATTGTTTTTAAAAAATGCATAATGGCAGGGTTTGGATAGCAGTATTATGTATGACTCTTCCACTTTTTCAAATTTCCTGAAATTTTTTAATTGCTATAATTTAGACCAAAATTTTAATGAGTCAGTAAATAGCAAAGTATATAGTGATCTTTTTCATTGATGCAGACAATTAAAGATAGAATGCAACCACCATCCTTTTAGAAGGTTAATGTCTCATTTGCTTCAAGTTTTGCTGGATATCATTAGTTCTTTCTAATATCTATATTTCTATGTTCAAAACATTTACAATCATATGTTTTCATCGTATTTTGTGATAGCAAATCTTACGAAGCTAAGGACTTTTAATTGGTTGCTATTGAGGACCCATAACTTTATATCTAAGAGCTCAGAGCTCTTACATATAGAGCTCTCAGTAGACAGAATAAATCAGACAAAATAATATATAAATGACCATCACCAAATGGAGAAACAATCATTCCAACTTGAGTTTATTTAGTTTATTATTCTTGCTTCTAACTAAAATCTCTAGGTATTGTTGTAAGAAAAATATATAGAAAAATATGGAAAAAAATAATCTGTATATGATACCTTATCATCTTACTTCAGGTAGTATGTATGAATCTCCAGCTAACCGGTCAATAAATTTGACTTGAACCTTGCTATTAGCAGCCTTAAATTCTAAGGAAATCTAGTCTTTTACATAATTAGGCATTTTTTTTAGTGTACTTACAATCTCCAAAAAACTAATAGAATTTCAGTATACTGAGAAATATATATATGTCAAATATCATTTAGTCTGTGTTAGTGAACTGTTTAAATAAATAAGATATATACGTAATGCCCTTGAAATTGGAACTTTGAATAAAACCAGCTCTGTGTAATTTGTAAGCATATACGATGCCTGAAAATAATCCTGGAATCTACTTAGGAAAGTTTGTTTATGATTAGCTTAATGACTCATGACACCTTATAGAAGGTGGTTATTGCCCCAGAGGCTGCAGATTCTTTTTCAGTGGCTTCATCCCAGTTTTCACAAGTGGCCTTTTACTAGGGTATATGACCTAGAAAGCTCTACTAGAATTTTTTTTAAAAGCCTGTTTAACCCTGAACAATTTTGATAGAGTATCTTTGGGGAAGCAGGTAAGAAAGAAGGCCCAGTTAGTGGCAGTTGTCTATGGCCTTCTCTTCAGCCCGATTGGGCACCACTAACTTATTTCATTGACCTAACCAGTAACTCCTCAAATTTTTAATACAGGCTGGAGTATTCACCATTTAATGCTAAATATTATAATGCTTAAGCTGTAAGATGTTTATTTCACTTGAATTGATACCAACATTATTTGGTCAAATATACCAATGGACAGAAGACAGTGGACATTAGACAGGTCACTCAGGGAAGTGTTCAAATAGGCCAAAGAATTCCCCCCTTTCCCCAGCATGCTTTGGGGTTTGGAACTTCACTCTAGATCATTCTGGTGAAAAAGCCATACTGCTTTCAAAATAAAATCTTTTGCATAGAAAAGAAATATAAGCAGAAGGAAGAAAAAGAAAATTTCCTATAACTCCAAACCCCAAAATAACTACTATGGACATTTTACTTTCTCTCCCTTTCGGTTTATTTTTCTGTGCCTAATTTCCTTCCCATAATTCTTTAAAATGGGCCTCCCACTCTAAACTGGTCAAAGTCTCTTCCCAAGCCCATCTTATCTTCTGCCTCCTCTTGAGAACTCATTTCTTTATGCTTGCCTTCATCTCCAAAACACGAAAAGATCCCTCCCTGTTGTTTCCCAGTCCCAGTTTACTGTGAAGCTAAGAGAATAAAATCGTAAGTTACGAGAGAATTTAGGAAGACGTGCAAGGTCATATTCCACTTTGGTGGACAGGGCTGAAGCATCGTGCACAGACGTAATCTTCAGCAAAGATCCTACAATACAAGATCCTACAATACCCCTCCATATTCTATTCCCAAGTCTAAAACACTGCCAGGGTTAGAAATTCTTGCTGGTGTTCAGCCTAAACACTTTTCCGCTTCCAATTTCTTATGTTTTCCCCTACAAGCTCAGAATCCTTTTGATCCCCAGGAAAATAAATATTTTATTGGTTTCCATTTTGAACTATTCTCCTGTGTTTGGGTCAAAGTCTTTTGGTTTGGGTATTCCCTTAGGGTAAGTGTTGACGAGAATGATGCCGTGTCACCTGATGCCAGTCGGCAGGTGGCCTTTTCCTCCCAAGGGTGTAGTCACAATCTGGCCAGAGTTCTTGAGGGGACCAAGGAGGCACAACACTGATGAAATGTAGGGAACCCTGCTTTGTAGTCAGTTGCCTTCAGCCCCACCTGTCCCATTATTTGTGTTGCATCATTTGTGACTACCTTGTAAAACTCTAAGTCAACTAGAATCCTCCTCTGGAGGTGTGCAATAAAAGAAGTGGAATCTTTGGTTAAGGAAAAGGTAGGAAATATCCAAGTATTATCCTGGATCCTTGGAGAGACCTTCACGTCGTTCAGACTGAGCAGATATGCCTGATTTAAAAATACAGGGTAGGAACAAGCAAGTCATTTCACCTTTACTCTTACCAAAATACAGCACGTAGGATAATTTTAGGGAAAATGCAGTGGTTATTAACCCTGTAGCACGTTACTGTTCCTTGGTAATTGGACATTGTCAATTTTATAAAAATGCCCTTGCGTGCCTCTTCCCCATTTCACCCAGAAACAGGAATCTTGTGGCCTCATCATTGAATCCAGCAGGCTCTCCCTGCCGGCCTAAGAAAGAAGAAACTCATCACATTTCAGTTGCTTATACCTGTTAGGTTTTTTTTATCCTTCATTAAAATAAATTTCAGTAGCATGTTCTAGGAATCTAAGTACTTTGGGAGTTGAACTATACGAAACTATCAATATTCAACCTTTGCTGACATACAGAAACAGCAAGTTCATATGGTTTAACCAAAACGTAACTTGGAAAGAGGTTTTCTATCAAAATGACCTCGTTGTCTTGTAAATAATCATAATTTGGCTCCAGGTTTTTCTGGAGGTAAAACCAAGGCAAGGAGTTCTTTCTCCCTCCTCAGCCCCTCCCACCCCACCCGACCCAAGGCCTGTGGCAACTCATGGTCTGTGTTTTAGTGCCATCTAGTGGCGTAAAGTGTATTTGGAATCAAAAACAATCCTCACAACAATTTGTTTCTTTGTTTTTGTTTTTTTTGGTTATTTTTTAAGCAGGAGTTTTTTTTTTTAACACGGATGTTATTGCCACATCTTTTTTTTTTTAAAGCAGTCTCCTCTTCAAATCTTTATAAGAATTTATTATTATATACGTACACATTTCTTTTAGGCTAGTGTGTTCAGATGTTTAACTTTTTAATGAAGTCCACATTTTCCTGCCATTTTCAGTGAATCTTATTGGTTAATAAATGTTTAGGAATACCTAAGAACATCTGAGATTAGTGTGTGCAAATAGCATTTAATCCCTCTCACAGACCAGTACAACTCTGTGCAAAAGTCTTCCATAACAATGTCGTCATTTCTTTCCTAAAGTGTATTATTTCTCCTCATTCCCAATGTATTTTGACCTTGACTGATTATACTTTGGCTCGGAGGGGCAGAAGAGAAAGAAATGACCTTCGTTTTCTAACGGTTGAGCTGTGTGGGAGAAAACCTCAGGGACCTTTTTGGGTAGCAAGCATTAAAGAGTGAAGAAAATTATAGGAGCGTCAGAGCCCTGACTATAGCTCTTAGAGGGTTGGATTCAAGAAGGGTGAGAGCTGCCCTGTAACAAAAGCGAAGAAAGATTGAACCCTAACTAAGGGGCTTGTGTAAAACTGTTTTTAGTTCTTCCCCACAGCCTGTAGTAGTAGATGCCTCACTCTTTGTGTCCTACAGTGCAGGCGGGAACAGAAAAGACTAACACAGTGCCTTTGGGATGTGGTCACCCAGGATCACTCAACTCGGCCTAGGGCGACACCCCCTTATGACATTTGGTTGAGACTTTTATTTAGACTTCTTGCCAGTATCATGTGTCATAGTGCAGGCGAGAATAGTTAATACTTAACATGTATAAAATATTATTTGTCCTACCACAAAAACAACAATGTAATACTTGCATACGTAGGGAATGACGTAGCTGCAAGGTTATTTACTGCAGCAGTGTTTGTAAAAGTGAAATTTAGGAGACAATCTAAAAGTCAATGAGGAGAGGGCACAGGCAGCTGAATGGAGAAGGGGCTGAAAGGGAAATTTCTTTCTTCACTTTCTATTTTGAAATATTTCATCCATATAAGAGAAGCTATCTAGTGACTTTCTAAAATATAAAGAATAGTACTCAAGTCAACAGTTTAAGAAATAGAATAGTGCCAAGATTTTAATGCCCTGAGTGTCCTTCCCTGATTTCATCTATCTGCCTCCTCTCAGAAATCACAATAATTTTGCTTTTGTCTTTGTTGTTGAGAAAGAAACAGTCTACTTTTGCTTAAATTCTGTACCATGTGGGGATAGAGATTATGTAAATATAAAATTTAAAAATTAAATTTAAATTAAAAACCAAAATAAAATCATCTAATTTAATATCTTTATTATCACAGAGGCAAAAACCTGTATCCAGAAAAGCAAGTGGAATAGATCTTTCATGAAGTAATGCTTCCTTTCAAATGAGCAGAGAACATGAATTACCTGCGCTACTATTTCTGTTTGCCCAGCTGTCAGATGCAGTGCACTTACTATAATTTATTAAAATAAAGTTCTCTGAATCCTGAGGTTAAATTTTTGCCTAGAATAAGGATCGAGCAGGGGGTACAATAATCTTATTTAAAATGCTTTATTAGTGTATTTGATATTCAATTCTTAAAGCGTAAATTCAGCCTGCATGATTTGTCAGATTTCTTTCTGCATCACTCAAGATTTCATGCCTAATAAAAGACATCGTGGTTTGATGTCAGCAGTTGGCTATTTGAATACTCCATCATAGGCAGCGTGACCTTTCGGCAATGTGAGTTGTTTATATGTGATAATGAGCCAGATTTTTCCAGTGACTGAGTTAATCGTGGTTGGCACCTTAGGAAACACCATTAACTCCTTCAGGGGATAATGCTGTAGGTCACTGTCCCAGGGCATAAACAGTATCCCAGTGACTTAGAAGAATTAATGCCAGTTTCAAAAATGTCTGAGACATTTTGTCTTAAAACAAAATTTAGGCTGACTTTAGTCTAGGTCAGTGCCAAATGACAAAATTCTGGAATCAGCTCTGGAACCCTTGGAGCAATTATAAAGAATTTGCCCTGCTCCCACTGCCACCAGCATATTGTCAGTTATAGGCATTAAGTGAATTCCCTGTGCGCACGCCAAATCATTAAATGGAATGTTGCCATAATGGGCTAATATTCACTGAGTGCCTTCTGTTTGCCAGGCACTGTTCTTGGCACCGAAACTGTCATTTAATCTCATTTTCACAGCAACCCTGTGAGGTAGATGTCACTATCCTGGTGTACAGATGAGAAACTAAGGGTCAGAGAGATGATGCACCTTGTCTAAGTTCACACATTGACTATATAACAGAACTAGGCAGTCTGGGGTGTTATTGGTACCTAATAAGACATCTGAAATCTGTGTTTTAGGTAAACTTAACATTGTCGCTGTCACCCAGATGACCCATAACCTCACCTAATATAGGCTCCACCCTGGGGGAGACTTGTCCATTCTAGGAGAAAGTGAGGGGGGCAGAAGGAGACAGTGCTCTTGTCACTTTTCTCTCCTAGTCTTTCGATTCTTTTGCCACTTTATAGTTTCACTAGAATTAGAAAAAGGAGGGGCTATCAGAGATAGTGGGACCTATTGGTCCAGCCTTGTGTATGTAGATATGTTGTGTCTATGTATTCATTTATTCAACAAATTTTTCTTGAGTGTCCTCTGTGGGCCAGGCACTGTGCACATACAGGACAGTCTCACTTTATTTGAGACCATGTAATTCATGATTCAGATAACCTTAACGAAGAAAAGAATCTGTTTACCAGCTAGAATAACCATGTGGCAAAGGTGAAAAAACAATTTAAAATTTACTTTGTTTGCCAATTTCAAGATTATGGCATCATTGGTGAACGTTTGAAGAGAACTTGGGGGTAATTTTGTTTGACATTTTGCCCCTATAGTGAGACTTTATTAATATTTTATATTATGCTATTTCAAATATGCATAAAATGCAACAGCACGCTATCCATATTGCCTGGGATACTGTTTTAGTGGCTGGGGAATCCAGGAATACTGTGGAAACTGCTGCTATTGTCACCATATTCATAGACGATGAGGAGAAATATCTGGAAAATCCTTAAGTCTGGCCTCTCTGGCTTTCAAATGGATCCGTGTAAACTTTACCAGGTGCTGGGAGATTCTTCAGTGCTATATGAAACTAAGTCGCAAGCAATATCAAATTTTCACTTAACAAACCATTTTTAAAAATCACCAAACCACTTCATAGTGCATTAAAGAGGGCCTTATTTCAAGAAGTTTAAAGAATCATTTTTGTTGTAGGTCTTGGCCAGCCTGCGAACTGTACGGAACAACTTTGCTGCGTTGACTAATTTGCAAGACCGAGCACCTAGCAAGTAAGTTATTCATTTTTCCCCCCTCCTTCTGGCTGAACTTTTTATAGTGTTTTTTCCGTTTGATTGAACTCAAGGCAGTGTATTAGATTTCTCTGAATCATTGCCATGCTGTCTAACCATTTACACTAAGTCATATGAAGTCCTGTTAACTTTCTGTAAATACTTTGTAGTGATGGTTCTCATAACAGAAATGAATCAGGATGGCAAATAAATATGGTGATTCCATCTGTCAGAAATCACCTGGCAGGATCAGTCCTCTGCCCAGTTATTTACACTCAGGGTAACTTTATAGGTTTGGCTTAATTCATAAATTCACCATGGGCAAATAACGTCATCAAGCTTTGAAGTAAACCCAAAGTTATCCTCTTACTTCTAAGACAACCATTACTTGGAGAAGTGTCATATCATAGGGAAGATCTCTAATTCTCTTGCTGTTACTGACTCAGATCGGCAGCAGCATGGAAGAGTTAACAAGATGGGGATTTATGGGCTAACAGGGGAAGCATTTGAGAGAGAAAGCTCAGATGGAAAATAACTATAATTTGGGGGTCCTAATAAAGATGGAAAATGAAAAAAAGAAAATTAATTTTCTAAGATTAAATGGAAAACTGATTATTCAAATGCCATAATTTTGACAATCTATTATGAATAATACAATATTATCTTTAAAATATCAACTCTGAAGAATTTTCCAGAAATAAAACCATTTCTTTTTTTTTTTTTTTTTTTTTTTTTTTTTGCGGTACGTGAGCCTCTCACTGCTGTGGCCTCTCCCATTGAGGAGCACAGGCTCCGGACGCGCAGGCTCAGCGGCCTTGGCCCACAGTCGCTCCGCGCGGCGTGTGGGATCTTCCTGGACCGGGGCACGAACCCGTGTCCCCTGCATCGGCAGGCAGACTCTCAACCACTGCACCACCAGGGAAGCCCAAAACCATTTCTTTAAATCAATATTAAGAGGACAGTGAATAGAAATTTATTTGAACTTATCTAAGCATATAAAATTTTGTTGTAATTACTACTTCTTAAAGAACACATGAAAAAAATCTAAACTTTCCATCCCATAATAATAGAGTCTACCTCCCAAATTCACATTTTCCATGATTAAAAAAAGGTCTGGCCATTATGCACATACTTCTTGTGATAGAACAAGGTTTTTTTTTTTAAAAAAAAATCAATATAAATGCCACAATGCAAATAATTGGAATGGAACCCAGAGGTGTCAGTTGACTGTCGTGTGTTGCAGGTAATGAAATTTTGCAGTCCTGTTCCCTTAGCCTGAGCATTTCTCACCTTCTTCTTCCCCTCCTCATCCACTGGGCTAATTGTAATTCATTCTTTAGGTTACAGCTTAAATATAATTTCATTTGGGGCACTGTCTCTGACTAACACCCAACATGCATGCACACCCACAGGCCCCAACCTGGGTGGTATGCTTTTCCATTGCCATCTGATTGCATCCTGTCCTTAACCCCTGCTTTAGCATGTTTCTCTCAGTGTCCAGTTACCTATTTGCTTGTCTTAAGAATGTCAGTTCCCAGAGAGCAGAGGTCGTGTCCAGTCCACATTTGAATTCCCGGTGCCTAGTGTAATACCCAGCACAGCATCATCACTCTGCACGTGCAGCAAACTGGCTAGAGGGGTGACGCCAGGATGCAGAATGGGAAACCTGAGCATGGGCTTCAAGCTGTTTGTTCATAACCAAACACATCTTCCACGTTCAATCGCCCCTTTGGGGCTTTCGGCATTTGGTAGCTCCTAGGTATAGTCACCTCCTCTTTGGAAAGTCTCAACCCTGCAAGAGAAATGAAATTACTGGTGTCCCTTACAAACTTTTTTAGCCTCAACTTTTGTCCATGAGATTGAGATTTTTGTCTTTGAAAGGTGGACAAAACTTTTATAATGAATTCCTTTTATGCTTCCTTCAGACTTGGTCACTTGTGTAGCAGCGTCTCTACCTGTGGCAGACACATCGTTGTTCAGCAGGTGTGAAGGCATCAGGCTGGCCTTTCTGTCCCCAAAGAGATGATCTGAGGCCCATTCTATATGAGACAGAGGTTTTCAGCTGACCTACAGGGACAAAACAGATTAAAATGGAAAAGAGCATCTAGAGGAGGGTAGAAAATCATACTTTATGCCTGAACTTGACCTGCTTTATAATGCCCTGGGTGAAGTCTAACCAAACAGCATTATCTGGCAGACCCTAAGTACAGGTGTTTGTGGTCTCTCTTTTGGTCGGTACAGATTTGTACCTCCTTTACTGATTCAAACCCAATCAGCCTTTTCAGGTATCAGAGTAGTAGGACTCAATCTACACACAGATAAACTCTGTTCTGTTCAGTGATAGCAAAATGGATGTGGATAGCAAAATGGTGCATCACGTGATGACCCCAGGGAGCCAGAATTCCCCCGCAGCGTACTCACAGTGCCACTAGAACACTCCCAAGCTCACCGCTGGATTTTGTGGAAGGCATATGCTAGCTTGCATGATCCACCTTTACTATTTACTACAAGAAAGGAGCCTAGAAGGATGCATCTGAAGCCCTGAGCCCTGAAGGTGTTCACTTGCACGTGGCTGACTTTTGCTAACTCGCTGCTGGTTCCTGTCCCCTTGCTCTTCCTTGCCCTTGAGATTTTCCATTCCAGAAGTGAGTTCGGGCTCATTCTTTATTAACTGATTTATCACTGTAGCCATGGATCAAATGATTGATATTTTCTGCTTGTCGTTACTTGTTGAAATATCAAGTTCCCAAGTGCCCGTTGTAGGATTGAAATCAAAAGAAGATAATAAGAAACAAGTCCATGATGTGGTTTACAAAACTATAGAAAAGTTTAAAAATATTTCTTTGATGCCTTTCCTAGACAAAATAAATGCTTTCTAAATTTTCACAGAGCAAGGACTAAAAAGGAGTAATCATTATATAAATGATTTGAATGATAAACTCTCAGCAAGTAGACATCTATTAGTATATAGACCAAAACTATTTCAGAGTAGCAGTTTTAAACATTAACCTTTCTTTTTTATAAAGCATTAGTTAAGTTTCAAATTCCCCCATTTTATTTCATAATAAAAACTGAAATAACTCAGAAGTAAATTTTGGTGCATTTTCAATCAAATGCAAATTTTCAGTCCCAAACTGATATCAGTAAATTTAAGAGCAATAAGACAGAGCCAGATGCTGACTGATACCAAGGCAGTGGGAATTTAAAAAGCACCAGACTGCTTTCCCCATGTATCTTCCAGCCCTGCTAAGAGATTCATCATCTCAGGAAGGCAGATTGGACCAGGGCTCTGCAGGAACCTGCCATCTGCACAGGTTCCACGAAAGCAGCCTAAAAATAAGGCAACATAGCAGTAGTGCAGGCCCTAGAATCACATTGCTTTAGTTCAAATCTCAGCTTTCTAACTTTGAAGAAGTGATTTACATTTCCAAAGCTTGTGTTTTCCTCATTGGTAAAATGGGAACCATGAGTCTGCCTGCCTTAAGGTTTGTTATGAGGGATTAAATGAGATAATTTATCTAACGTGCTCATTTAGCACAGCATCGGACACACAGTAAGTCCTTATTAAAGTGTTAGCCACTACTAGAAGTACCAAAACAGACAACCCCCAGAAATGAAAACAAACATTTTTCAGACACCCTTGAATGTATCTATTTTCTAAAATTTTCTTAAAGATCACTAATTTTAAGAGCTTTCAATTGTAAGTAACAACTTTATAAAAAATTTCAAAAAAATTTAATGGAGATTCCATAAATGATATTTTCTTCAACATAATTGATTAAGCAGTGGATACATTGTGCTGGGCTCTGCAGGGAATACAAGTTAATCAAATAGCATGGGGTGTTTTTTTGGTTTTTTTTTTTTACCCCAAGGGGTTTATAATCATCGTGTGAAACTTCGCCAACATCTGAAAAATTAGAGAATACAAAATAGAATTGGTTTAAGCACCTTTAGTTTATAGTGTTTCTAAAGTCTCTTTGGCATCTATTTGGACCCATCGTTAATATACCTCTCTAACAAATGGATCAGAGATGTTTCTTGATATAAGAAAATAGAAAGGAAAAAGTTGAAGTACAATAGCTTCTCAAAGTGCAATATAGTTTACAAGGAGTCATTCACTTCTGATAATGTATAGGCAATCGTGAGAATTTATGCCAAAAATAAAAGTTTCTTAACACTGTATTAGAGAAACCAATTGTAGACTGACTGCTTTTTCAAGTTCAGAAAGTCTGTGTTTGCTCTGTAAGCCCGGGCTTAATTGAATACGGTCAATCAATAAGGACTTCCTCTTCTCTCTTGTCTCTGTGACATTTACATCAGCTTTATTTACCCCAGAGTCTATCACCATGTGATTTAGCTTTTTTTTTTGACACGTGATCAAAGGGTACCTAGGAACTTGACTGGCTAGTCTGAAAGAAATCTTCATTTGCATGTCCTAACTTAAAAATAATCCTTAAATTTAAATGGCATATCTGAAATGACTCAGAGAGTCCTCAGACCAACAAAGTATCATATATTTACAGCTCTGTATTTTTCTCTCTTTGTCAGAAGATCACCCATGTGCAACCAACCATCCATCAACAAAGCCACCCTAACAGGTAAGAAGGACCTGAGAGATTATTCTTCTCACATCTAGGAAAAAGGCATATTTTCCAAGATTCAACCTTATTAGCACCAGTTTTTTCTGCAATTCTAAAATCTTGAAGAAATTAATCCTTTCTTCTCTATATTATCATTTCTCTCACTGATCTCACAAGCTGTCCATTTAACCTATTGGAAAAACTTAACTGATGTGCCATTTTTTTAAAACAAGTTAAATTTTTGCTCTTACTCGGTTGAGTGTTGCTCTGGGCATTTGTATTTTGAGAGATAGCATTACCTTCGAAATGCTGACCATGTTTCCGAGCTTGTGTTTTCAGCATGATGTTAATATATGGTAGCTTGGTCGAATGAAAGTCAAAGCATAAATAAAAGATACCTTCTTGGTTAATGAATTTCCCAGTTGTGTGTAGGAAGGAACACCATTCCAGTACTCCTGATTTGGACCCAGAGAGTTGAGATTAAATTCAGTCTGGGAGAGGAGAGAAGAAGTAATTTTACAACACAGAAAAGTTCAATGAGATCAAAAGAACAGATGTTTGGGGAAGAGAAGTGGATGGAAGGATGAGGGGCGTAGAGGTCAGAAGAATAAAATTACTCCGATTCCTATTAGTCTATTTTAGACATGGGGCTTGACCTCAGCTGAGCCAAAAACAGAACAGATGATCTCATTTTGCTAAACCTGAAACCAAATTGAACTCATCTGATCATTTCTTGAAACCCCAATTGATTCATTAAGATAATTGCCTGGAGAAGAAAACCCATGTTTTCTAAAATTATTACCAGAAGACAATTAACATATTCTCCAAACTAGACCAATACTTCACTTGATTCAAGTGTCTTCCTGGGACTCCAGCTCGTAATATGCAGAGGAGCTCATTATTACATTATCAGTGACTCTACTTTGCTTGAAAGTTAACTTCATCATGTCCAGTCAGGACCTTTCAACTGGGCTCCTTTGTGGTCACCACATCAAAGTGATTCTGGGACAGCAGTTAATGTTGGTCTTTCCTGAATGCCTTTCAAATGGGACTTGTGTTCCACTGACTATTACATTATTGGTTCTCTTTTCCACGTGTATCTATCAGGATCTTATTGGTGATGATTTTCAACTGCCATTTCATACTCTTATGTATGATTTACCCATTTTCTTCTTGGCATTGGTCAAGAGATGAACAATAATTGAAATTCCTACAGATTAAAGTAAGTTCTTTGAGTAACAGATTTCTTCTTCAGAAACCCCAATTTAATATGAAAGAGCCCAAATCTACCTGGGGCCTCTAATGAGAGAGACCACATGGAACCTGGTCCCCAGCCCTGCTCCCAGCACTAGACCTGACCCATATAAAGAGGGAGACCGTCACCCCCTTTATCTTTGCAATAAGTAAGACTCCTCTGACATCAGTTTGTGCAGAACTCCGTGCTATTTTGCTCCCTGAAAGCTTGTAGCTTGAGGTCACATATGAGCCAGCCCCACAGAGCATCCTACCAGAAGAGCTGCAGGTACCAGTGGAGGCTGTTGTGTCCACCAGGAGGTGGTGGGTGCTCCGTGGTCAGGGCAGCTGTCCGGCCACCCTGGCCAACGTCTGGCACTGATTAAAGAAGGAGTAGCTGCACTCAGAGGGCTCAGACTTGGCCTTGAACACACATGAGAGGCCCCGTCGAAGCTCCCAGAAATTTCACGTAGTGCTGAGGCCCGGAAGCAATACCAGAGGGGACTGTGAGCCACAGAAATCTGGGCTGATATGGCCTCATTTGTACCCACATGATCTTGACCTGAGGCCTGGGGACAGTGAGGCTCTAGAAATATCTTATTTAGGAAGGGAAACTAATTAACTGTCATTAAGGGCTTTGTGCGGCTGTGTTCATCCCAAAGCACAACAGGAAATTAAATGACTTGTGAATGGAAGCCTTTTTCCTTGCCCAAGAATAGCAAACCAAGGTGAAAAAGTCAGATGAGGGGGTGAGGGAATGAGGGCAATAGCAAGGGACATTCCTCTCTCTGAGCTCATTCTGAAAAAGTATGCCCTTAAAACCATAAATCATGAAAACAGTAGTGGTTGAGACTTCAATGGGAGACTTCAGACATACAGAAAAGGTGGTGCTTGTGAATTCCTGCCCTCAGCAGCTGACTGCTCAGGATTTAACTCCAAGTTTGCTCCCTGGCAAGTGAGTGCAGTGGAGAAGAGTGTTAAAAAGAGTCAGTGGGGCACGCTTGAAGAGGAACTTGGCCTTCTTAGAAATTTTTCTTAGGTTCTAGAGGAACAGTGTAGTATGCAGGTAAGTTCATGTTTGGTCCAAAAGGCCGCTGTGGTGGACAGCACCAGGCGCCTCTGGAGGGCAGCTCCATAGAACAGCACTGACAGGGCGCTCCTGGAATTGGGGGGCAGGGGGCGGGAAGCTGCTCTGCATGTCCAGAATTCAAGCCATGTTCTATCATGATAGCTGTGTGGCTCTGGGCAGGTTACATAGCCTATCTCTGCCTGTTTTCCCATTTACAAAACAGCGATCATACTTCATACAGTTATTGCCAAATAAATGAGTTCATTTGTACAATGCTCTTAGCATAGAGTAAGCACTCAGTGCATCATTTTATTTTGCTTTGTTGTTGTTTTTATTCGTTTTTGTTTTTAGGATTCATGCTGTTTGTAACTAGGGGTGATGGAAAGAACAGGCCAGAGAGATGAGAAAAGGAAAGGGAAGAGTGAAAGACAAACTGGCAAGGTCAGAGGAGTACAAGTTATGGATCCCCCCCAGAATGGTCAAAATGCACACACTTCCTTTGTGCCTGTTGTAAGTGGGGCCTCTAATTGCTCCCAGCACTGTATCCCGGCCTCTCATCACAGCCACAGGCATTGGTGCCTTTGTGGTGTGGATGATAAACTATTGTTCAGGATTATTTTCAAAGTTGAAGAACTTATTTTTGAGTCACAGAACTTTGAAGACAGAAAATTAACTCTCCATAAGTCAACTTCTTGAGTTTTATAAAAGAAGAGTTGAGAACTTTAACTCTCTCTCTCTGTCACACTACACCTTCTAAAACTTGCTCCCATAGAACTTAGACTACTCTTTTCCCCCTTAGAGGTTATTCCATTTGACATGTGTTAAAGCCAGGAAAGTTTGATTTTATATCATTAGGGCTAAAGCATGTTAGTTAGTTGCCAGATTTTATTTCTATACATAATACATAAATACATAGCTCTACAACGATTTAACAATTTTTTAAAAAATGAAGTTTCCAAATGTGCATTTAGAAAAGAGCCTTCCTGCTAAATGGCTCTTTGTTCTTTAGTGTGCTATAACAAAAAGACTGGCGTGTGGCATTTGGGGCCTGAGTGCAAACCCTGTATCTCTCATTCGTTTTATTCCCTCGTTTGAAAAATGGAGATAGGAGCTCCTCTCAGTGCTGTTGCAGGAATTCAAGGAGGTAAGTTAGATGAGGAACAGAAGCCTGTCATGAGTAACTCACCAAGTGTTTCTTCCTACAACCCTCCTCCTTGCCTGACATTTTGTTGTTGTTCCTAAAGCTATTTTAAAAACGGGTAGCGTAGAGGAGGACCTTGATGATGTGTCAGCTTTACTCGTGCACTTCATTCATGATTTTGTTTGCAGACGGTAATGATGGGGCATTTTTCGGAATCCCTGTACTTAGTGCAAGGCTCACGTGCATAGGTCCTTAGCGGATGGTGAAGAGCAGAACTAAAGCGTGTGTTGAAACATGAGAGGGCAGCAAAGAGTCAGAGCTGCCCAAGCCATACCTGCGTTGTGACACTGAGCCCTGGTTTGGGTGTAGAGCCATGTCTTTGGGGGCACAATTGGTTCTCTTGAGCATTTCATTTTCAAATGATATTCACTCAAGAAAAGAGTTCTGTGGCCATCTCATGAGACCTTGTCACGTCTCCACGATATCACTTTACAATGTTTGTTACTTACATATTTTCTGTCCCTTTATTTAATCATATTTAAACTGAGGATTTTCATGTGAGAATGTAACTGAGAGAAAATTTATTTAAACTTCTCTATTTTAAAGATGAGAAAACTGAGACCTAGTGAGAGAAAATGCTACTTAGAGGCAGAGCCAGGAATAAATGCAGGACTCCTTTTTGCCAAGTCTAGGATCCTTCTTATACATAACCCTATAAAATTATCCATCAAATTAGGGTAGCCTTCAGACCCACCATGGAAGTATATGTTTTGGAGAAAGTGAAAGAAATCTTACAGGATATTGATTTCTGGGTAATAGATATAACATTGGATTTTCTTTGTATATGGACCCAAAAAATTGAAAATATCCTGTCCCGATTTCTCACTGGACAGGTCTCTGTATTTAGAGCTATTTTTATTATATCCACAGCCTATATCTTAGAGGCCCTCAGATAAGTAAAGATTGGCAGACTAAGGAGAAAATACAACTTCTATCCATGCAATAAAACTAGTTCAATTGCCTCCTCTTTACCTGTAGAGGGAGTGCAGGGACAAGCGTAAAATAACGCAAAAGTAGTTTTAGTCCAAAAAAAATTTTGGTATATCTCCACTCATATTTTTTGCCCTGAATATGTCTAACTCCTTTAAAAAAAAAAAAAAAAAAAGAGTGCATTTTCAATAGAATTTAATCAGTTGGTAAGCAGAGGATTTAAAAAGTAAACTATCCAAATATACTAGTTAGTCAGAATACAATAAGACACTTACTCTTGTTTGTTTATTGTTCTTCTAAAGCACAAAGCAGTTTCTAAAATCCATTGAAGAAAAAAAAAAAAGCAAAGATTTTTAACTGGAACAGTTATTTTGTTATTACCGGGACTAATCACTTAACACTTTGTGCCACTAAAGAAAGGAAACTAAACAACTACTTTATGTGACAATAGCAATGCTAGTGACTTATGTAGGTTTGCCTTTTAAATGTGCGCATGCGCGTGCGTGTGTGTGTGTGTGTGTGTGTGTGTGTGTGTGTGTGTGTGATAAAAACAACTCGTGTACATAACGTGAAAAGAAATATATA